CAGTCGTGGGGCCTGAACTCTGGGCCTGGGCGCTGTCCCTCAGCTCTTCAGCTCAAGGCTAGCACTCTACCACTTGAGCCACAGCGCCACTTCTGGCCTTCTTTTTTTTCTGCTTATGTGGTGCTGAGGAATCGAACCCAGGGCCTCAGGCATGCAAGGCAAGCACTCTACCACTGAGCCACCTTCTCAGTCCCCTGGTTTTTTTTTTTTAAGACCAGACAAGGTTGGGGGAAATTTGGTAGTGTTGCTTGGATAGTTATAGTTCTATTTCAAGGTTGAGGTTATTTGCCACTCCTTTAAACAAGTTCCACACAACAGCACTCTAGGGTGTGTGTGTGTGTGTGTGTGTGTGTGTAAATGGAGTTAGAAAAGGGCTTTATGGTGACATATGTTTAAGGATCCCATAGCAAAGGCTGGTATTTCTAACTTCCCATGATTGCCATTTCCTAAAGAGCAGTTTGGGAAGCAGCAGACTTACCTTTCTTTGGTAACATTTTTCAGTAATTTCTTGATGGCCTTGGATTCTGGGTTCAAGCATATTTTTTCTCCATTTTTCATAGTAGCACTGTAGAAGTAAATGGTAAAAATATTTAGAATAATGTGGGGACAATCAAACAACATGCACTACACAGTTCCCAAGTCAGACACTTTTTACCCTAGATATTTCTTTGTTATACATTTGTTTTAGAATCATCGCAAACCCTTTATTGATCTTTTGTGATTAATATATCAGTACAGCTGGAGAAGTGGTCATCAGATTGGTGTTTACTTACATGACCTCAACTTGTTCACAAGATTTACTTTTAGGAATAATTTCAAGTTTGTCTAAGGACTTTGGAGTAACAGGTCGACTGCTGATCTTGATGCAGCTGCAGCGTATCGTTCTAGAGAGAGGAATTCCTGCAGGAAGACAGGCAGAGCAGAGAAGGTTAGCACAGTGCTTCTTTCTAGGCATTTAATGTAGCCTGAGTAGAACTTAGAGTCTATATCTCATATTGTCACATAGTCTCTTAAATCCCTTGTGTCACAGGTCTGAACAATTTAATAGTTGATTATCTGGAAGAAGGGAATTGCAACTTGGTTGTGATACCTTCCCCTGTGTGCTGTTTATATTATTAAGCTTAGGTAAGGAAGTATCAGTTTCTTATCCTCTCCTTCTTCCCTCCAATTTTTGTTCTCTAACCGAATTTTTATTCCTTTTCCCCTTCTTTCTCTCTCTCATTGTACTTGTTTCTCTCACTTCAGCCATTCATATGAACTATGACCAAAGAGAACTTCTACTTATTTCCCTGTCATTTATAGAAACACAGTGAAGGTCACAAATACATTATTTCTATATTTTTAGAATTTGTACCCAGACAGACATCTGATTTTATAAATTAACTATCTTTTGATGTTTCTTACCTTGAATCCCATTTAGAGTCAGAATGATAAGGCAGCAAAGAAGAATGCTAGTCCGGTACATGGTGCTGAGATGTGAGGTTCCTCTGTGTTAGGCTTCAGAATGTGCCTTACAAAACACTGAGCTACTATGCAGTATTTATCTGCAAAAGCACTTTCCCTCCCTAGCTATGATTGGATAACATTACAGTTGAGTCAGCAAATCCTGCCACTATTGGGAAGTCTCATGTTGCAAAATCAAACTTTTTTATTGTGTTCTTTGAGTTATGGAAATTCCCTCTGCTTCCTTCTTTTTTTCTTCAATGAGTAAGTTTCACTTTCCAAACTATGAATGGTTTCTTGAAAATCAGAATTTTATTGCATATGTAAATGGCTTTTTAAATGGAACTTTAAATTTTTATTCTTCATCTCCCATAAAATACCAAGTTAATTTTTAAGTCATAATCCTAAATACAGTTTAAACATGAGTATGTCTTAATACTGTGTTTTGCATCCATCTTAATTTGCAGCACTAAGGTAAGCATAGGTATATTTTACACTGTTTACTCTTTAGGATTCAGAGGTTTCATACATTGCTATTTGCACCTGCAGTTGAAAAAAATCCATTTTATTTTATAGATGGATAAAGTAAGTGGATAAAATGAGTAAGTTGCTATTCACATACTCATTTTATTGGGTTATACAAAGTTGTCATGTATTTACTTGTACTATGATGCATTTTTCTCAATACTATTTTGATTGTTTTCAGAGGCTGTTTCTCAGTTATTGTAGGTAACAGCAAGGTGTACATGATGTTTAGGAGAGATGATGTAGCTGGGCAGTGCTCTTCATTAAGTACTGTAAAGCAATAGGGTTGGTCTTCTTTGAAGAAGTCAAGATTCAGAACTAGAAATTTTCTTTTTCTTTCTTTCTTTTTTTTTTGGCGGGGGGGGG